GCACAATACGGAGCCACAGCCCCGTATACTACTGCAATTTTAGAATCAGTAGCCGAGAATTGGCTTACGCCTGGGGATTGGCAGAAGTTAGCCCGAGCGACACTTGCTGGAGGAGACTATCTCCTATGGAAATCAGAATATGTAGAGAACTGCAGGGACATTGCTAAACGCAACGCACAGGTTGGTAATGGATGGAATTTGGATATGCTGATAGGAGAAGGAAATTATGCTAATAGCGATGTCCAAATGCAATATGATGCAGGTCTTTTTGCGCAAGTTCAGACAGCAGGCACTAGAGCATGGAGGAAGCTGCCCACCAAGGGCGACATGAGCTCCTCCCTTACTAACATTAAACAAGGACCTGATGAACCTTTTGCAGATTTTGTTCACCGCTTAATTACTGCAGCAGGCAGAATTTTCGGTAATGCAGACACCGGCACGGATTTTGTTCAACAATTGGCTTTTGAAAACGTTAATGCCGCCTGTCAAGCCGCTATTAGACCTTATAAGAAAAAGAGTGATTTAACTGGTTATATTCGCCTATGCTCTGATATTGGGGCTGCCTATCAACAGGGGCTTGCCATGGCTGCCGCCTTGAAAGGGCATACAGTTAGACAATTCTTGGAAAGATCTGCTAACCAACTCTTGGCATGGCCCAGACCCAGTCCTCATCTGGGGCCGAGGTTCTGTATGCATTTACTCTAAGAAAATGAAATCTGCCAGATGGCTACCAGAGCGTCTGGTTAAACAGATTGATCAAGTTAAAGGAATAGCAGATCACCATATAGATAACTCCAGGGACGAAAATTCGCCCTGAGAGGCTTTTCCTGTTTTTTTTATTTCAGGAATGGACCAGAAGGCTGAAATCTTACTGCCAGGAATACTACTGCATCTTTGCCTCCTTGTGGAAAGGAGGTTTTGAGCCTCCTCCAAACCCTGACGAGCTCCTGAGGGCCCTATTTGCCCCCCCATGCAACTGCCTTGCAGGAACGCTGCTGCTTAAAAGAACTTTTCGATAACCCCCTTTGGAGCGGGCTAAATGGGGTGCTGCCTTATCTTCTCCCTCTGTTGGGACTGATTGTGTCACTAGGACCTTTCCTCTTCAATGAGGTGATGGCTTTCAAGCAGCAGATGGATGCCATTAAGATGCAATCTATACAGGTCCACTATTATAGACTTGAAATGGCCGACAGAGAAGCTCACTCTAGCTGTGAGTCAAGCTATGACTATGCCCGAGATGGCAAATAGTCTCAAAAACCTCGTCACCTTGGTGCGCTGGGCTGGTTAGCCAGAGACGGGCAACTGGAACTCACACGCGTCACCGGCCACCGCCTAAGACAGGAACAAGGCCTTATGCTGCCTTGCTTTCCAATGACGGGTAAGGATAGGTTGGAACCGTGTGCAAGTTTCCTGACCTAAGACAGGCACAGTCCCCTCAAGGTATTATTTCGGCCTTAAAATTTAATAAAAAAGGGGGACCTGTGGGAGACCGTTTGCATGGCATCCATCTTGTTAAAGTCTGCTCTGCTGTCTCCGGCCCCAGGGCGGTGCCTCTCCGCGTGCCATGCCTCTCCGCGTGCCATGCCTCTCCGCGTGCCATGCCTCTCCGCGTGCCATGCCTCTCCGCGTGCCATGCCTCTCCGCGTGCAGTGCCTGCATTCCTCTAGATAATTGTTTGCTCCATTCTTTGCTTATTTGTTCCACCTGGGGTATTTGCTGGGGTTGGCTTCAGGTGGGATGCTCATTGGCTGTTTCACGTGTTTTCCCCCTATATATAATGTGAACTCCCCCTGAATAAACGAGACTTGATCAGAATCCTGTCTTGTCTCCATTTCTCGTGTCTCTTGTCCCACCTCATCCTCACTCCCCCTCTAGGGTCCTCGTTGATCGACCTGCGGGCCGGGTCAACCATGGAGAGAGATATGGTAGAGGCCCCAGAAGAGGAAATGAGCTTGGGGGGTGGGGTGGGGTAGGGGAACTCTACTTCCTGCCTCTTCTTTGTAGGGGAGAAAGCTGGGGCTGGGGCAGGCAGTTAATGTGGAGGCACAGGACTCTGAGGCCTATCATGTGAACTTCAGTGCAGGCTCAGTGCTTACCACCTATGTGACCTTAAGCAAGGGCCTTGGTCCCTCACTGTTCAGAGTGTGGTCCCCCAAATATCAGCACCATCTGGGAGCTTGGGAGAAATGCAGAATCTCACACCTAGATCTACTGAGCCAGAATCTGCATTTTAACAAGACGCCCCACCCCCAGGTAGTTTCTGTGCACATGTGCCACTCTGTGCCTCAATTTTCCCATCTGTAAAATGGGGATTAAATGAGTTTCTGCACATGTAGTGCTTCAAACAGTGTTTGCTGCTACTATTTATTTATTTATGTATTTATTTATATTATTATTATTATTGAAGCAACTCAGTTTGGGCAAGATGATGGCTAGGGCCCATCTGGTGTGGCTCAGTGGTTGAGTGTCAACCCATGTACCAAGAGGTTGCCGGTTTGATTCCCAATCAGGGCATATGCCCAGGTTGTGGGCCCGATCCCCAGTGGGGGGCATGCAGGAGGTGGCCAATCGATGTTCTCTCTCATAGATGTTTCTAAGTCTCTCTCCCTCTTCCTTCCTCTCTCTCTAAAATTAATAAAGAAAAAAAATAAAAAATAAAAAGATGATGGCTGGGCCCAGATGGGCTACTCCTAGGTCCCCACCTCTCAGCACCCCAGAGGTGACTTACATGAGACACATATGAAGGTGAGGAGCCTGAGGCTCAGAGAAGTACAGTGACTTGCCCAAGTTCTAATGGGGAAGCCAAAGTTCACCTCTACACCTGTTGGAACTTGTTACTAATGTTAATAGTAAACGGGTGGAATTGCTGCCTCTGCACCAAGCACTTGAGGTACTCACAACCACCCCGTGAAGTCAACCTTACTGTCACCCCCCATTTTTCAGATGAGAAAACTGAGGCACAGAGAGGTTAGGCTGCTTTTCCAAAGTTACCTAGCAGGAAAGGCTGCATTTGGACCTGGGTAGTCTGACTCTCAACTTCTAGGCCATGTTACATTCCACCTCACCATTTTTCTCTTCCAGAAACTTTTCCCCAAAAGTGTCCCTGCCTCCTCTGTTATCACTTTGCCAGTCCTGGCTCTGGGGCTCCAAGCCTGTCCCTCCCACATTCTCACCACTAATGAGGCCTTTGACAGCTTCAGGTTGGGACACAGAGGCCTCTGGAACTGGATCTGTGGGGAAAATCTGTTTCCTTCTGCTCTGGGCTCCCAGGTGTGGCTGGGACAGGAACCTTTGAAGGTAGTTCTGGACAGACCAGGAAGCAGGAGCTGTTTGAGACACTTGGCTCTGGCCTCTAGGGCAGCTGGCCTGGAGCCAGCCTTCCCTCTACCTCTCTGTCCCTCATTCCTACTCAACCACCAGTTCACCATCTGGGCCTGGCCTCTTGGCAAGGACTCAGCTGGGCCAGGCCTGGAGCTCTGTAGTCTAATCATTCATTCAACATACATGTATTCAGCACCTATTGTGTGCCAAGCACTGTTCTGCAGACATGGTAATGAATGAAACTGACCTACTCCTGGAGAAGAAACAGACCAAATTTAATCACACACACTCAAAAATGTTCAACTTCACAATGCACAGAAGGGACAATAACAAAGGGAACCACTCTTGGGTGGAGATTAGGGACATTTAAGCAGAGATCTGAAAGATGAAGTGGAAGAATGTTGCAGCTGGAGGGCACAGCAGGGACAAAGGCACAGAGATAGGAAACAACTTTGTGCATCTGAAGCATAAAAGAGACCAACCAGCCAAGCCAACCTGGAGGGAGTACGGAGAGCCTGGCATCATGGCATTGAGAGTTGTATCCTCTATCTTCTCCCAAAGGGTCTGCTTGAGGCTGGGAGAGAAAGTTCTAGCTGACAAGCATCCCAGCTCCCAGAATGGGGGGCTTTAACTCCCTATCTTCCAAGGCAGAGGCAGTGAACCAGGGGACTTGGGCCACAGAGGTCTTGAAGGACACACCTTCACCCTCTTGTGGGCCCTAGCTGGCCACAAGGCTGGGTGTCTTCTCACTGGGCTCCCTTCTTGGGTGGACAAGTGGAAATCACTGCACTAACTGGTGCCTCGGTATTCCCAGGCCTGGCCTGAAATCCTGCCTTCATCACAAGTCAGCTGTGGTACTTCTGCCCTGCGTAGTCTTGGGTTCCTCGTCTGTGAATGAGGTAGTTCTTCCTTTACAGGTCGTCTTGATAAAACGTGTTGAGTGGTTGTACAGGGTGTGGCACTTGGTGGGGGCCTAATCAGTTATTGCGTTAAATAATCATAATTATAAGCAGCTAAGGGGCTGCAAACTCCCGGTAGGCTCAGCCCTCAGCAGAATGAGAGCTCCACGAGGATGGCGAGGACCTGTCTCCTTGTCCGCAGTTCCTGAGTGGACCGGTGTACCATGCACATGGTCAGCGTTCCACAAATGTTGAATGAATGACTGAATGACCGAATGATTAAATGAAAGTAAATAAATGAACTAACGTACAAGTGAATGACCAGCTTTCTGCCCCAACCAAAGACATTCAGCTCAGGAATCCTGCTTCTCTCCTGCCCGGGCCCGGGATTCCGCTACTCCCGCTTCCGGGCAACACTCTTATCTGCTGTGCGCCTCAGTTTCCCCCTCTGTAAACCCGGGGTGAGTAAGGACAGCCTCCGAGCTCGGAGGGAGGTTTCCTCGCCCGGGACCGGCAGCCCGGGGGGCCCAATACCGGTGCACCGAGGCCAAACGCGTCCCCCCGCCCCCTTTCTGCGAGCTGAGCACAGCCCCCGCCCAGAATTAATTGCCCCGACACCGCGCGCACGTGACCCCTCCCCGCCGTCCCAGCGCGGGCTCGCATTGGCCTCTCCGTATGGGCCCCGCCCCCACCAGGGGCGGAGCCTAAGGTGCCCCGCCCGCCGCTGAGCTGGGGCTCCTGCGTCCCCTCGGTGCGCGGCGGCCGGACCGGGCGGGCGGAGCCGGGCCCGCAGGGCTGCTGCGGGGCGATCGGGCCAGGCTGCGGACGGCGCCATGGTGAGCGGTCCGGGCAGGCTGGGTGATCCGCAGGGCGGGGGCTTGCAGGAGAGGAAGGGGCAGGTCGGGGTCGGGTGGGGGCGCGCGCCGGGCGGCTTAGTAGCGGGTCGGGTGTGTGTGGGGGGTCCCTACGGAGGGGGAGGGGCAGCCCGGGCGGGGACGCGGCTTCGGGAGGAGGGTCTGTTCCGGGGGGCCGCGCCCGCAGGCAGGGGTTCTTTGTCCGCTGCGCTGCAGCGAGATCCGGACAAAGGAGACGGCTGGGGGCGGCGGCTGCTCTGCGGGGATCGGGTGTCCCCCCTACACACCGTGCATGCCCCCTACTGCGGCCCGCAATTCCGCGCCCACGGCCAGCCACCGAGCTTCTCCGAACACTTAGGGGTTTTTTAAAATAACGGAAGAGGCGCGGGTCCTGGCAGACCCCAGGGTGGTCAGGAGGGCTCTGAGGAGTAGGGGTGGGGTCCTGGTGAGATTTGGCACCCATTTGGCAGGTGGAGAAACTGAGGATGGGCCGCAGCGTTTGGTGCTCGGTTCCGTCCATGGTGACTGGAGGAGTGGACATGACTGGATCTCATGGTCCCGGTACCCCCCCCCCCCCCGGGTCCCAGTCAGGCCGACTGGAGTTGCCTCTCCAGCTGTCCTTCCCCCTCCAGCTGTCCTTCCCCCTCCAGCTGTCGCCTCCTGGTCCAAGCCCCTTCCTCCAGCCTCGAATAGCTCCTTGATAGAATGGGGGAGACGGCAGCGTCAGCGTTGGCTGGGAGGGTTAAATGAGAGGATTTGTGGAGCGCGCCTGGCACCGCGCCTGCACGTCGCCCGCGCTCAGCACCTCAGCACGCGGGAGCTGCTAGGGCTTGTCATCCCTGTGTACCCTGCATTGAGCCCTCAGTCCCGGTCACCCAGCATGCCCCTGCTGGGTACGGGTGAGGGGAGGCTGACTGGGGTTCACCTATACCCTGACCCTTCAAACTTGGGAGTGGGGAGGTGTGGATCAAGAATATAACACTTTAGAGTCAAGGTTGAAATCCAGGCTTCTGGATTCAGGCTGGCTGGATTTGAATCCCTGTGCAGCTAATTTTGAGCGGTGTGACCTTGGCAATTGATTAAACTTATCTGAGCCACAGATTCTTTATCTGTAAAGTGGGCTTAGTAATAACAACTCTAGACTTATTTTGAGGCTCAAAGGAGATGATCCTGTGAAGCTTTAACTCAGTATCTGGCACATAGTAATCATTGGGCAACTTTTGTCAGCCATCTGTTATTACCAAACTTGTTTAGCCAGGTGGGCTGGGGCAGCCTGTGAGAATTACCAGTGGCTGATTCACAGGGTGGGGGCATGAGCCTCCAGCCTTGGCCTGGAGGGGACTCAGTCTGACCTTGGGACAGTCCCTAGGCTCTGCCCCAGCCAGCTTCCTCTTCTGCACAGGGGAACCTAGGGGCTTCTGGTGTGAGTTTCCTCTTCAGGAGGGTGGGGGTAGAAGATGAGATGACACTGACCGCAGAGCCAGGCCCAGCCCTGTAATTGTTAGTCTCCCATGAGCATCCCCACTTTCCTGGTCCTGGCATTTAGAGGACAGGAGCCTTGTGTGATGTGTCCTTGGGTCCCAAGGACAGCTGGGGCCTGGCACAGAGCAGACGTTTTACCTGCGCCCTGACTGTACCCAGCAGTGCCCCATCCTCTCTACTATTCTATGTTCCTAATCAGAAACCAGGCAGGAAATGTTTCTGATTTGTGAATTGGGGTCCCATGAAGAGACAGAGCTGGGTTTATTGACACACCTAGCAGATGGCTTTGTTAGGGGAGAGGGTTAGGGGAGACTTAACCCGTAGAGGCAGTGCTAGAAGCCCCTGGGGTGGGAGTGGTTGGCCCCGTCTAAACATGGCAGTCCCAGAAGCGGGGGTGGCAAGTTGGTGACCATCTGGGCTGGGTGACACTAGTGATATTCTTAGTTAAGTGAGAAGGTGGCAGCAGAGTGTCCCTGAGGAAAGGACTATTCATGGCATTGGGCCTGGACCAGGCTCTGTACCCTTCTCAGAGGCAGGTCCTTGGGGAAAAGGGAACCTAAGGGCACACTGTCCTCTCTGTGTCACCCAGAAAGGCATGGTACCTGGCGGCATGCAAACCCAGTAGCCCATGGCCCTTCTGTTTCTTATCACTTCTCATCCTCCCCACAACTTGGGTGAGGTCAGGACCTCATTCCCATTTTGCACACTGAGAAACAGGCCATTAGGAACAGTTTGCTTGGCTGAGTCCAAACAGCTTACAATAGCAAGTGAAGAAAGAGGTGGGGTGGGGTGAACAAGGGGTCTCAAATCTGCCCACTGGGCCTTGAGTGGGCAGTGACCCGTGGAATGGGGTTAAGGCTTAGTTTGAGGGGTCCTGTGAAGAGTCAGGGATAACTGGAACCCTACCTTACTTATATTGAGGAAGACCTAAGCTGTGGGCCTCTTAGGGACAGCAGGACAGTTTGAGGTATTGGCTGTGAGGAGGACTATCCTTTTGGACCCACTGGTGGGCAGAGGAGGTAGGAGGTGGGGAGCTCAGAGGAATAGCCTCTGCAGACTGGAGAGGCTGTGCTTTAGGGCTTGTTTTTCCAGGAGCAGTGGGTGTGTGAGGTCCAGGTCAGGTTCAGACAACCCTTGGCCAAGGGAGGCAGGACTGAGGGCCCACAGAGTGGGAGGGTGGAGGGAGAGTAGAGATTGGCCCTGTATGTTTGGGGGGATCCAAATGGCTTTGGGCTTCCAATGCCAACCTTTGTCCTGACTGAGGGAGCTGGCAAGGAGATGCTACACAGGTTGAGGTGGGGGAATCTGGTCCATCACCTACCCCGAGTGCCCAGAGACTGCAGGCCCCCAGCTGTGCTCTGGTCCCCTCATCTATAAAATGGGGATAATAGTGAGCAGCATTAGCCGCAGGGGTGTAGGGAGGATTAGATGATTGCATGGAATAAATGTTAAGTACTCTGATGATTGTTCTGAGGGGGTCAGGTTTCCCGCCATCCTGTGTGTCTATTCAGCCCAAGCCGTGGCCCTCCCTGTCCCATCTGGGGGCTTTCCTGGATTAGGGTGAGGGGGCAGCTAGCTTGCAGAAGACACCTTGGCTCAGAGGAGCACAAGGATGGGAGGCAGGGGAAGCCCCGGGAGAGGCACAGCAAGTAGGGTGGGGTTCAATCCAGGTCAGCCAGCCTCCCTCATGCTTCAGGTTTCCTCTGGGCTCTGCTTCTTAGAGGCCGTCTCCCCTCCCTGCCTCTCAGCACTGGAAGTGACAGTTGCCTCTCCGTGGGCCCAGGCCTGGCCCGGATCCACCTGCACCCTTTGCTCCCACCTCGGCACTCAGGCTGCAGCCTGTCCTCCCCTGCAGGCTGGCTTCCTTGAGTCTATTCAGACAGGCGCAAGGACCCAAGTCCAGGGTCCTGGGAGTGGCTTCAGAGTGAGGGAGCTGGCTAAGGGATGGGTAACCACCGACCATGATTCCCATGAAAACAAGGTCTCCTCTGACTCATCACTGTATCCCTGGGCTTGGAGCACTCCGCAGACATTTATCGAGCGCCTGCTATGTGCCAACAATGGGGCTGGGGATCCCGCAGTGGGCAGGATGATCAGCGTCCTCCTTTTTCTGGCTCAGAGTCCACTGTGGGAAGGAGACAGCCGCCAGGGAAATGTCTTCCCTGACCCAGAAGATCTCAGGTAACAGAGAGTGCTGGTGTGGCTCAGTGGTTGAGCGTTGACTCATGCACCAAGAGGTCACAGGTTTGATTCCCAGTCAGGGCACATGCCCAGGTTGTGGGCCCAATCCCCAGCTTGGGGTATGTAGGAGGCAGCCAATCGATGTTCTCTCTCATCGATGTTTCCATCTCTCTTTCTCCCTTCCTCTCTCTCTCTCTCAAATTAATAAAGAAAAAAAATTAAAATGAGGTAGTGCAAGGTAATGGCAAGTGTCGAGTAGAGGGGTGTCTGGAGCCAGGGTGGTCTGGGAGTGCATCCCCCAAGGGGTATCTTCTAAGAAAGTCCTCCCAAATAGGAAGGAGCCAGACATGGGACAATCCTGGAAGACATTCCAGGCAGAAGGAACAGAAAGTGCAGGGGCTTTGCGGTGGGAGGGTGGAGGGTGTGCAGAAGCTCGGGGATGCAAGGGGTTTAGATTCTCTGCTGATACTGGGGAGGGTTCTGAGCAGGGGGTGATGTGATCAGATTTCTTAAAAGATGAGTTCTCAGGAAATACTTGCTGAGTGAATGAAGGAACAAACAAATGCACCCCGGGGAGGGCCAGGGAGCACGGGCCAGCCATGACCATGGCATGGTTACTTGGCTCTGTGCTCATGGGGGTGAGGGGCCCAGACCTGGCTGTGCCTACTCCTGGCCTAGTCAGGGGCAGCAGACACTTTGTAGTGTCTTTTGAGGTTCCCATACCTCTTGGAGAATCCCTTTGAGCCAGGGGGCTGCGTCTGCCTTGGCTTCCTCATTAGTTTGGGACCACTGGCTTCAGTGGGTTTGGCCCCTGGGGCCCCCCATCCTCAGGTTTTGCTGCCATTGTTTGATTTCCCAAATCACCCCCATTCCCCAAACACACACAGACTCCCCTTTCTGAATTGATACCGACTTTCCTTCCTGTCCATGAGCACAATAGGAGGGCAGGCACTGCAGCAAGCGCTGGACAGGAGAGGTCCAGTGGAGAGGGGGAGGTGGGGAGGTTCAGGGCAGATAGAGGATCTCCCTAGCAGGAAGAGAAAATGCAGGTCAGGCTTGGGAGGGGGCGGGGCGAGAATACAGCAGCCCTGATGGTGGCGGGGGAGAGGCCAGGATGACCGGTACACTTGGGGCACAGAGATGTGCAGGCCACTCATGGAGCACACAGTCTGATGGAGGCGGCGGGTGCTAACCAGATGTGATGCTACAAAAGCAGGGTTGCTAGCTGAGGCTAGTGGCCTGAAGGGAGGAATCGAGTGCAGTTGCAGAACCAAGGGACCCTCCCAGACAGTGGGGTCAGGAGGCTTCCCTGCCTGAGCTGGAGTCAACTAGGTCAGAGAGTCTTGACTTCCACAGTTGATCTTTGGTGGGAGTTGGGGAGTGGATGGGGGCTATCCTATGCTCTGTGGGATCTTGAGTAGCATCCCTGCTCTCTATCTACTCAGTACTAGTAGCACTCCCACCCCCATACACACCAGTTGTGACAACCACAAATGTCTCCAGATACTGCCAAATGTCCCCTGGGGGACACAGTTGCCATGTTGAGAACCAATGAACAAGGTTAAGGGGAGCAGAACATTTGGGCAGAGGGATTGGCCTGGGCAGCAAGGCTTGGGGACGCATCATGCCAGGTTCTATAGGTCACTGTAAGGACTTGTGGGCTTTTGCTCTGAGTGACAAGGGCCCTGGCTGGTGTGGGTCTGCATGGTAAACCAGGGCACCAGGAGCCTATTGAGAGTGATGGCAGTGGCTTAACCCTGGAGGTGGTAAGAGGGGGGCAGACTCCAGGGATATTGCCCCTCTCCTTCCTGCCCAGATCCGTCTGCAAACGTGAGCATGGTGGCAGGTGGAACTGAGAGGTCTGTAGAGTTTTCCCAGGGCCTGGTCCCCAGACAGACAACAGAGTGTTGACCTTCAGACAGACCTGGCCTTGGGTGCGGGGGAGACTTCCTAGTGTGGATAAAAATCATTTCTAATTAAGGCTGCTATTGCCTGATGGCAGGTTTATCCTGCTGGGAGGGAAAACCTTTCCCTTCCAGCGCTGTCTACAGCATTGATGTCAGTCTTCTCAAAAAAACAAATTCAAACAGCTTGTCTTCCTGAGCACCGACTTGGTGCTTTTCCACACCCTCATAACCACACCACTTGGGTGTTAGTTACTGTTACTGCTTATGGTGAGACATGAGAAATAAAGAGCAGGGTCTCGGGACCCAGGGGAGTCTGCTAGCTTCAGCACTTCCAATCTCAGCAGGCTGTTGCTGGCCTCACCTCCGCTGAGTCTTCTGCACTCTCCTTTGCCCCTCACCAGCCCCACTAACAGGGGGCTCAGTGAGGTGGAGTTGTCTGAGGTTAGGAGGCCAGGAAATGGTGGTCCATCACAAACACCCCCTCCCGCCTTCACCCAGACCAGCTGATGCTCCAACTGCAGTGACCGGCACCCTCAGCTCCTTGCACTTGCCTGAAGGCCCTCTCCTGCCTTCCGAGCCTTAGCAGATGCTGTTCCCCCACGGCTGGCTTTTCCTGCACATCTTAGCATCAGCATTGCCTCCCTAAGTATGCCCTGCCCCACTCAGTCTAGCATTGTGGGACCTGGTTCCCTACTATCCTGGCATGGCATTCCAGCATTTATAGTGATAGGTGTTTGGTGTGTTGACTTGTTTGCAGTCTGGCTCTTGCACCAGACGCTGAGCTTGGGGAAGGAAGGGCAGTCTGTCTTGAGTGCCTTCATCTTCCAGGACTTTGCTGCCCGCTTCCCTCTCAGATGGTGTGGTGGACAGCCTCTTCCCAGGTGGCTGCAGTTCCCCCATGGGCAAAGGCTGTCTTCTCCTGCACCCTCGCACAGGTTTTCCTGGACTTGGTTGAGCTACATGTCACTTGTCTCCTGTCAAATCCCTCTTCTCTGGCCATCACGAAGCACTGGCTTTCAGTTCTTTTTTTTTTATTCTCACCCGAGGACATTTTCCCATTTTTTATTCAGATAGAACAGGAGGGAGAGAGAGAGAGAGAAACATCAATGTGAAAGGGACACATCGAGTGGCTGCCACCTGCACGACCCAGCCAGGGCAGGGGACAAACTGCAGCCGAGGTACATGCCCTTAGCGGGAACCGAACCCGGGTCTCTGTGAGCCGCAGGCCGACGCTCTAACCGCTGAGCCAAACCGGCCAGGGCTGGCTTTCAGTTCTTGAATTGTTGTGAACACCGAGTGGTACTGGGCTTCCAGAACATTCACCTTCAACAGACTCTTTCGAGCCTGGGCTGTGGGGTCGCAGGCTGCAGACGACCACCTCAGGGTCTGTGGCTAGGCCAGGGTGGCAGCCTAACTGGTAGCAGAAGCAACGAAGATAGTGAATGGAAATGAGGAGAAGGCTGGTAACACCACGGTCAAAGAAACAGCAAAATCCAGCCAGCATGTTTTTCACTAGGATGAGGGTGGGATGGTCAGGCTTCAGAAGAGATGATAAATAGACCCTATAGAAGAGTCAGTGCTATCTCGTGAGCTGTCCAGGTGCCTTGCAGAGTCCCGAGTATAGCCTCATGTGACTTTGTCTTTCAGGGCTCTCGTGTCCAGCCCGAGTTCCAGCCTCACTGAGCCGGTCACCCCCAAGACCTTCCTGCTGAGGAAGTCTCCCCCAACACCGACCATGTCTATTATGGACCACAGCCCCACCACGGGTGTGGTCACAGTCATTGTCATCCTCATCGCCATTGCTGCCCTGGGGGCCTTGATCCTAGGCTGCTGGTGCTACCTGCGGCTGCAGCGCATCAGCCAGTCCGAGGATGAGGAGAGCATCGTGGGAGATGGCGAGACCAAGGAGCCCTTCCTGCTGGTGCAGTACTCAGCCAAGGGACCGTGTGTGGAGAGAAAGGCCAAGCTGACCCCCAACGGCCCAGAAGTGCATGGCTGAGCTGGGATTTGAAGGCTCCTGGGCTTGTTTGCAGCCAGCCGAGAGGCATGGGAGGGGGAATCCACAGACATGCTGCCGTTTGAGAGGACGGGTTGACACTTGCTGGCATGGCCTTACCTGGCTTCGTTATCGCATGCACTGACTCTTGGGGTCCCAGCTGTCCTAAGCCAGGACTTGGTGGCCCTGGGCATCCCCTCTGCCTCCTAGTGGGGCTGCCCATTGCAGGCAGTGGGCAGACCTGACCTTGCTGGGGTTTAAGGCCCCATAGCGCTTTTGTTACTTGAATGTTTAGCTGAGCCTGTTTTTGATGGAGCTACTACTGTAACGCGTGAACTCACAAACCTGTGAACTGTAAATAGGCCCCAGAAGCACGTGCTTAAACTTTTTTTGCTGATTTTTAAAAATATCGGATAGTGTACACGGGACTGACCTTACTAATGATAAGCTGAGTCAAGGCTGTGGGGGAGGGTCTTAGACATGTAAGGCCCAAGTTGCACTTGGCAGGGGCCTCTAATGTGTGTGTGTGTGTGTGTGTGTGTGTGTGTACGTAGAGGATGTGTGACATGACCAGTTGGGGTGCTGTGGTGATTTCTGGTTGGTTAGCGATGGCTGGAAGAACCACACCACCGTCTTTCTCTAAGTAGGTTCAGTCATTAAATACCAGTTCCTGTTCATATTGCAAGGAGGCTATGCAGCTGCTTGGGAGCCAGTGAAGGACGAGTCAGGGCACACGTCCTGAGGGCTGCCAGGCATTGCAGTGGCAGAGCAGTTTCTTGACCCTTTGGTCTTGAGCATGCCGAGCACTCGGTTTCTGTCCCCACCCCCACTGGGCATTACTTTGTGCAGACTTCGCCGAACAGGCAGTGGCTGCTTTTGTCTGAAACTTAATGGGCCCAGGAGAGAAAATTGTGGTTTTGTTGTTGTATTTAATATTTTCTGCACTGGAGGGAAGGAGTAGGGGACTGAGGTTTCTTCCACTCCTTCCCTTTTCACAAATTAGTTTCTTAAATTACCACTCACCTGCTGGGGACTGGATTTTACTTTCCTCAGCGGATCACCTAGAAGAGTCCCCTGACCCCACTATGAGGCACAAAGTATGATGGAAGGACACTTCTTGCGTGCATATGTACATGGGGGCCCCCAGATGCACCCTGATTGCTTGTGCTTAGTGAGCACCTGGGGGTACAGGCAGGGGAGTGAGTTTCAGGTTCTGGACTTAGTTTGCAAAAAGATAAGGCATTGGTGGCTCTTGGATTAGGCCAGCGCCTCCACAGCCTGCATCTCCAAGGTGTCCCTTGTGTATACTTCAGTGAACTCGCTTAGATTTTTAATCCCACCACTGTAAACAAATTCTAACTATCAAAATTAAACTATGACTTGTATCAGCTTCCTGGGTAATAAACTGGAGGCCAGCCCTAGCTTAACCTCAGTGCACTGGCCCTTAGCACTTGAGTGGCCTGCCAGCAGCATGGGCATGGATCTCCCAGGGGGCCCTCAGCCTTGCCTGCCAGCCCCCACCACCATCAGAGCCCTGGCCTCTTGGTCAGGCTGAAGGAGGCTTACCTATGGCCTCATTCAAGTCTCCTCTAAAAAGCATGTTGAACTAATCTACTTTCTAGAACCCCAAGGAGGGAGCTTAGGGAACATTTATTTTAGCAGCATATGCCTAAATTGGGGGTCAAACTTATAGGACTTAATAACTTACAGGAAGGGAGAAGGGTGTCTAGTTAGGCAATTTGAGCTGAAGGCAAGAAAAAATGTCTTTGGTCCCTAACTGGAGATGGCCAAGCATGAGAGTTAGGCAGGAGACCGGCAGAGGTCCTGTGGGCTGGGAGGGGGTACAAGTTCCAACGGTGCCGACTTGAAAATCAGGGAGAAGGTGGTTTTATAATGAAGGATGCTCAAGAAAAAATGGAAGGTGTAGGGGTGTTTGATCCATTCCCCTCGCATTCCAGAACTTCCAAGCTTTCTACCTCTACTTTCTGCAGCCAGCAGCATCCACCAAGGCTGTCTTTCACTCTAATAACCCAGGGGCACCTGGGACTTGCATTTTCAGTCTCTGAGCCTGACCTTGAAAATGACCATCCTTTGCCTGCCAGACTTGCCCTAAGGTTTTTCCTGTGCCAGTGAAGTTTAGGTTATGAAATGCTGAAATGTCGCTTTTTCCTTAGTTTCACTTCTGGAAGTTCTTGATTCCATTCCCAGGTTGCCAGGGATGACATCTTTGCGCTTGAGTCCGGCTCATCAGCACGGTGGCAGTGCCGGGTGAGCGTCACAGGCATGGTGGGGCACTCGGGGGGGTCTCTGGGAGGAAAGTGAAAGTGCCTGTAGAACTGGTGAACCACCACATAATAGCTCTCACTGTTCTTGTTTATCAATAGCTACTTTTTTTTAGCATAGACACCAGAGCCACACACTCCACTGGCTTAGTAAGTTATGACCTCTCATTGAATTCTTTCTGAATAGCCCACTGTTGTGTTCAAATTTTCTGACTAGTCAGTCAAGGAATTACCATTTCATCCTGTAATGTCATCGCAGAAGCAACAGTAGGAGAATGGGGAGGGAACTCTGACACTGAGCCACTAAAATATGGACTAATTTTTCAGACAAATCTTCAAATTGTGCTACTGTTTTTGTCTCAAAGTTACCCAGTTTGTGCAATAAGTGGAAGGGGTGTCATCCTTGTTCAATAAAAGCTGAATGACATTCACGCTGATTTTCTAGACCACTGAGAAAATCTTTATTTACAATAAATTTCAATAAAATTTGCATAAATATATTCCCAGTGTACAGTTTTCACCTCTGATTTCTTCATGTCATTTAAAAAGTTAGTCTGTCCTATTCTCATTGCTCCTTTCAGCCACCAGTGGGGGACTGATATTGGCCGGTGGAGGGGTACTGCCAGGTAATCGGGGGGGCCCTGAAGGCTCGGGGTGGTCAGAGTGCACTTCCTCTGCGGGGGTGAGGTTTTCAGCTCCATCCTTGCCCTCCAGTTTCCGCTCCATGGTCGCCACCAGGATCTTGAGCCACGTGTTCTCAGTGAGCAGGTTTTCTGAGGCGTCGGCCAGCTCCTGGAGCTTTCGGGCCACCTCCTCCAGTTCCCTGGTCTTCTGCTCGTACAGGGCCTGCATCTGCTCACTGTGCAGCTGGAGCAAGCTGTGCTGCTTCTCCAGGGTCTGCTGCTGCTGCAGCAGCCGGTGCTCATCCCTGCGTGCGCTGGAAAGCTGGGCCTCCACCTGCATTTGCGCTCGCTGAAGGGTGCTGATTTCGGCCCTTAGCTTCTGGATCTCTCTCTCCAAATGGGAGATGTGCCCCTGCTGTAAGACTGCCTCGCTCTGAAGACACTCTTTGGTAGGAGGGTTAGCCAAGTTCGGGGGGACAGAAGCAGGGTCTGAGTGATGCAAAATGAACCTCAGCAGGTTTGGAAGGGTGATGGGAAGGTCTTCGGGGTATTTCACACTTAGGTCCTTTCTGAAGAGAAAGGGAAAGGAGTCAAAGATGAGAGTCACACCAACATGTTTAGTCCAAAACCAGACTGCTACTAAAGGTTAGGTCTTTATTTTCTACAAAAGACATTCCGAGGATTGGACCTACTGAAGTCAGCAAAGAAAATGTTATCTAGGCAAAATAATTTTCTACAAAGCTTAAGATGTGCCAAATGCTCATTCTGTAATTAAGGTGGCTTATCTCAAACGAGTCTGTTCCTGAGGACAAAGAGCTCAATTCTATTCACAAGCTTCCAAGAAAGAGGAGAGCTACCAGGGCACCGGGAGCGCAGGGGCAGAGTGGCCTCTGTATGCTCTGGGAGGCCCGGGGGCGTCAGCTGGGGTGTGCTGGGGCAGGGCTGTCACCCACATCGCTCTTGTGGCCATCAACAGTGCTTGGTAAAATAGGGAAAACCTGAAACACTCAGCCCAGTGTCTTCAGCAAGCATTTATTCCATATTATCCAAGGCACGAGTTCTTAACTGGGGGTGACTGTACCTCTCAAAGGACATTTGGCAACATCTGGAGACATTCTGATTGCCATGATAGGGAAGGTGTTACTGGAGTGCTGACCCTTGACAAACACACCAACCCAGGGACGAAGGGATTGAAGCTACCGGGCCCTGAGAGCTCAGGATAAGGAGGGAGGGAGGGTGACAAATAAAAGGGGTTTTCCCCAGAGCTTCACTGCAAGTCTGTAGAAAATTCCTTTTTAGAACTTGTCATTTAATTGTCTGACAAGCAAATTTCTAGCACAGAAAAATTTCCCTGTGTACATACAACCTGGCCGCAGTACATCAAAACCACCAGCGTTATATATGAAGTGGACAAACGACCGGTTATGGTCGCCGTTGAGTATTACAGGAATGGAGGTTAAGAGCGGGCCTCTGGAAATGGCCTGCCCAAGGCCGACTCACAGGGCTACTGCTCACTGTCAGGAGCTCCCAGATAAGTGGCTTCTCTGTGTCCCTGCACTGCCTCATCTGTAAAGGGGTGACAAGAGTATCACCTCCCTCACAGGATTGCTGTAAAGATTACATGAGTTACCCAAAAGCTCAGTGAATGTTAGCTTAAAAAGAAATCACATTGTTCCTCCAAAAAAACAAACAGAGAAGGCATTAATTAAAGCGTTCATAACAAAAATTAATTAATAAAAAAATAAATAAAAGCGTTCATACCCTCTCCACAAACAAAACCAATGGCCAAATATCTAAGAAAAGACAAAAGGTTTTCTACTAATAAGTAGTCCTTTCCATAGGAAATAAAAATCACAGGGAAATGAAAATCAGATCAGCCTCATTTTATATAACACTTATGGAAACTTTCAGGTAAACGGAATAATTTCAAACATTTTGGGGGTAAGTATATAACCATGCCCTCCTTTAAAGCATAGTTTTCTTAACATGCAAGCTTTCTTCAAGTGGGGCCTCCCAGCCGTTCCATCAACAACTGACACCATCCTGGCCCTGCAGGTGAGGAAGGACAAGCAGAGGCTGATCTACCACTAAGTTCTGCAGCACAAATCTGGGCTAAGGCAGATAGTAAATGGGAATTAACCTTTAGGGAAAGAGCTACTGAGAGACCTGTATATGTATTTAGAGACAGTTACGGGACAGAAAATGACATTTCTAAGCATGCCATTTTAGAGTTCTTCGAGCAATCTCCATGAATTTACCTACTGGGTATATACTACAATGCTTCCAAACTTTTTAGAAATAGCAAGGACACAGAGTGTCAACAGACTGCCTATAAAAAAGTAATCCCTTTGAAAGTGTGCTGGTAAAGGTCTCACTATTTATCTGACTACTAAATTCACTATATATTTCTGGCATGTAAAAGACCAAATATAAAAATGGCAAATGGGGTATAAGGCATCTACTCCAGAGAAGGGGCTATCATGGGAGGATGGGCCTGATCTTTGAAGAAGTAAGGTCCTTCCCCAGGAGACACATTAGAGTGAACCCTGCCCCCACCTTCTGATCTAGCCCAGGGCTGGGCCAGAGCACCTATATTTTGAAATGTCACAACGAGTAGTAGAAGGAAGAGGGGCCCTAAGTTGCCCCTGAACAGGAAGACTGGCCCAGCCAGTAGCTGGAGGTTGCACATTGTGTCCTTTCCCTAGGAAATAAATATCACAGGGAAATGAAAATCAGATAAGCCCCAATGGCTTTGTTTGTGGAGAGGGTATGAACGCTTTTATTTTTTTATTAATTAATTTTTGTTATGAATGCTTTTAATTAATGCCTTCTCTGTGTTTTTTTTTGGAGGAACAATGTGATTTCTTTTTAAGCTAACATTCACTGACAAGCTCATGTGGTTTTCCTTTCATGATTATAAAACAAGATGTGCTCACTGTAGACAATTTTCAAAGGATGTAAAAAGCAGAAAGAGGCACCACCTGATCACTTGAAATCCTCACTCCTCCAAAATAATCATTGTCAACATCTTGACATCTTTTCTTCCCTATGTACACATTTTAACCAGTAAAAATTTATATTTTATCAAAACACAAACATACTTTTATATTCTTTTCATTAAAAATAACATAAGTATGTGTATTGTGAAAAAGGTCTTACTACATGTTATCAATCAAATTTTTCATTTCCTCTTTTTCGAGCTGTCAGCTCATATCCTTTGCCCATTTACCTTCTGAGTAAATTGAACACTCACTTTGGCCCAACTAATGAGGAGTTTATTTCACTTCCGACTATCATTTATTTTGTTTTGTTGTTTTTTTAAATATGTTTTTGTTGATATTTGAAGAGAGAGACATGGATCAGCTGCCTCCTGCATGACCCTCACTGGGGATTAAGCCTGCAACCCAGGCATGTGCCCTGACCAGGAATTGAACCAGGACCTCTCAGTCCATGGGACACTGCTCAATCCACTGTGCCACAATGTCTGAGCCACTATCATTTATTTTGAAGAAATAAGAGCAATTCCATTCCAAAGCAGTAATGCTTTGGTTTACCAAGCAAGCTTGTTCCACTAAAATAGAACTGGACAGTCTTTTCATGTTCAATATTTACCCTCTTGACTTTAATTCCAGGAAAACAGTAAGTGGCTGCAGTGAGCCCAACATGGGTCTGGAGAACAATGTCACCACCATGCTAACTACATCAGGAAACTTTAGAATGAAAGGCACTCAAGCCAGACTTAGGCTTCCAAACACACAACTCCCCACCACCAAGTCTCTGTGTCTTTCCCTGTCTCTCTTAATACATATTCACGATTCTAGTTGCTGAGAACTTCTTTATGCAAAGGCTAGTGCTGGATGTTATGACTTGAATACTTTTCTCAACTCTGGAATTCCAAAAGTACGCTTCATTAAACTTCATGCCCATCCTCTGTCCCACAGATGGAATTGCTAGTGTTATTGTCCATGGCTCCCTGACTGTGTGGCTCTTTAAAGCTTCTTAGAAAGAATAAAGTCATCCCGACACTACCAGCAGTAGAACAGGGTGAGTCACGATCTGTTTTTAGTTTGTGATTTGACAAGACTGTACTACCACAGGAAGTATTCCAGAAAAAAATTCTTTGAGATAAAGAGGAAAAAACAAGAACATGATTCAATACATATGAAGGAAACACTCTCCTGGTGAAACACAAAAAGCATGGCAGTGGCTGCAATAAACGGTAAAAGTGAGGGCAGGAAATTAAAACAGTAAATGTCACATGTGAGTTAGGGACCTCACTGAAATAACCTGGCAAATGCTTTTCCCCAGTGCAGATATTGTCAAAGCCATGTGACTGGGACCCCCAGGACCTATCCTTTTAAAAGCAAAAGGGAATCTGTAAAAAGGGTTCTCATCTGGTTTACTGGCTTTGAAAGTCTAAGAATTAATTTCTCTTTCTGCCAAAACATCCACATCCACATTTGCCAAGTTGGATCCCTTTTGCTAATGTCCCACCCCTGCTTACTGGCTTTCAAGGCAGTTACAGTAATCACTGAACTTGGAGTACCATTCAGACAAATGTGAGGAGATCCAGGTGACAACTCTGTGGCAGACATTCACAGAAGTCTGCACACTTGGGGAGAAGACTCCTTGACCCCCATTTCCTCCTTGCACAAGAGAGACAAAGAGTCATGAGCTGGGCTCAGTGAGAAATGACACACATGAAAGCTTGGGCGGGCGGGGCCGAGAAACCCTGAAAGGCTCAACAGATGCCTGTGGTTTTGCCCCACGGGAATGTGGGGCTCTCTGCTGTCAATTCTGGCATTCACTCTGTTCACAAGGCCAAGAAAGCAAATGAGTTCTGATGGTGACATCTTTGCTCGTGTAAAACAAACACTCTGGGAGGGGCAAACTTCTATAAAACAAAACAAAACAAAAAAAAACACCACAGCTAATACTGTGACACCAAAACTGTTTCATCTTTCATCCCTAATGGCACATTTTTTAAACAATATATTTTATTCAAAATAGTTTAGTAATAACTAATGATTTACATTTCACTTCCATTAAGTATCTTAAACTCATTTCATTTTCAGCAAAAGAATCCCATCTGCCGAAATGTTGAAAAAATTCTGCATTACCTGTTACAGGGGAAAAATAAGACAGTAGGAAGACGGTCAGCCATAAATTCCCAAGGAAGATCATTCTGAGATACATCAATCCTAGAAAAGGGAAAGAACAGAACAGGTAAAACACCTGCCAAGAAACTCCAACCTAAAAGAACCTTCTCAAATAACTAAAGATCCTAAAGCATTTTCTGTGACCAGCCCCTTCTCAGTGAGTGCAACATTAGGTTTAGGTTGGGCACAGCTCATGCAGGAAGCACCAATAGTTCCAGGACATGAATCTTTCCACTTCACTTACTGAGTGGAAACATAATGTCCTGAAAGTAAAAATGAACTTCCCCAAAAAATGCCTTACTAACACCTCAGGAGTAGTCCACCTACCTGATGAGATCTGGGCAAGTACTTTAATTCCTAAGTTAGCTCTGGAGAAACAAAGGAAATTGTGCAAAATGCATCAAGCCTCTCTGAAGATATAAGAAAACTGGGAAAGAAATACCATACTCTATTTTATATTTTGTAAATCTGGGGTTTTTTTGTTTGTTTGTTTTTATCCTCACCTGAGGATATTTTTCCATTTTTTGTACAGATAGAATGGGAGGGAGAGAGAGGAAGGGAGAGAGAGTGAGAAACATCGACGTGAAGGGACACATCGAGTGGCTGCCACCCGCATGACCAAGCAGGGCCGGGGACAAACTGCAACCGAAGTACGTGCCCTTAGCGGGAACCGAACCCGGGTCTCTCCAGACCGCAGGCTGACACTCTAACCGCTGAGCCAAACTGGCCAGGGCTATATTTTGTAAATATGGACAGAGGCCCAAAAAGGTGTAGTTTCTTAGCGGATTTAATTCTCTAATACAGAAAATGACATCTGTGCTAAATTACCCAGCCTACCTGTGTTTAATTACTACTGAACTAGGAGGCGGCCCCTCCTGTCTATAAGCAGGGCATACAGCAGGCTGCCCCGACCCCAGAGGCTGCTCAGATGGCTCAGAAAGAACGTTCTAGAAGAAGGGAACCAGCAGAGGGCCGCTCAACCCTATTCTCACAAATAGTGCATATAAAAGGTGGAAATGTTTTGACTCATTAACTTGATGGAAAATTTCAGAAAGTATTGGGGGGAATGGATTAATGCAATACATTTATCCAAAAGGATAAAATCCACTTAAAAAAATGACATAACCAAATTATAATGGTTTGAAAAAGCTTTACTAATAAAACAGCATTCCTGCCTACCTAAAACATTCAAGTTCCATTTTTTAAACAAGTGGTGTTGAAAACTTTATTCTATAATCAAATGCTCTTTTCCTCCTGATTTTGGCTTCAAAGAAAGACCAAATTGTAAAATTAAAAGAAAAACATTTTTAAACACCCACTTAGAATTTCATCAGGCTAATCAGAACTTTCTTTCTGGGGCTTTCTTTTAGGCTTGGTGTAGATGCCTACATACTGTTAAGAGCAGTAATCATATATTTCATCCTCTAGTCTTTTCAATTAATGGTATGCAAAGCGTTGTTTTAATGAGTGGGTAAAATCTCATCAAATGCCCAACCATAACTTATTTAAGCATTAATCTACTGTTGGATATCAATAATGTTACCATGAGTCTATGGAAGTCCTATTTCCTTAATTCCCCAAACTGAAATTAACTGAGTCAAAAATCAAAAATGTATAACCATTTCTGTGATTTCTTTTTTTTTGGTGCGTGCCCCTAGCGGGGACCGAACCCAAGACTCTCTGGTCCACAGGCCGACGCTCCAACCGCTGAGCCAAACCGGCCAAGGCTATTTCTGTGATTTCTTACAGTGTTGCTAAAATGCTTTCCAAAAAAGTCATGCCAATTTATTCTATTAGCTACATCTGACTATATGAATTTCTCTTTATTTTATCAACGCAAGATTCTGTCACTTAAACATATTTAATAAGTATAAAAATGACACTTATTGTTTTAATTTACATTTATTAGATTATAATTTCCCCACTTGCTTATTTACTCTCTCCTCTTACATGAAAAACCTGTTCATGTCCTTTTTTCACACTGGAATTCCTCTCAGCTGTTTCTACATGCCACCTCACCCCCTTTTTTTTATTGTGATAAAATATATGTAATATAAAACTTACGATCTTAACCATTTCTAAGTCTACAGTTCAGTGGTATTAAGTACATTCATATTGCTGTGCAACCATCATCTTGCAAAACAAAACTCTGTACCCATTAAACAACTTCTCATTCCACCCTCCCTGCAACCCCTGACAACCCACCATTCTTTCTGTGTCTGTGAACTGGACTACTCTAGGTGCCTCAAGAACCATACAGTGTTTGTCCTTTTGTGTCTTATTTAGCCTAGCATTAATGTCCTCAAGGTTCACTCATGTTGTAGTGTGTGTGTGTCAGAATTCCCTTCCTTTTTAAGGCTGAATAATACTCCATTATATGGATCAGTTTCCTCTCAGCAGTTTCTTAAACCATTTTAATTTTTCAGGGTCCGGAGTATGAATGTCTGATTCTGAATCCTGGTCCCTCACTTACAGGTTGTGTGATTCTGGGCAAGTCACCTAAATCTTTTTGTGCCTCAGTTTCCTCCTCAGTAAAAAGAGACTGATACTCATGCCTGTGCTTCACTGAATGCTCTGGGGATTAAGTCAAAATAACATATACATATAAATCTCTCAGCTCTGTATCCTAAAATTTGGCACTGATGATCACTTACAGCATATATAACAGGTGAACTATATATACCATAAAATACAGGTATTATTCTTTTTTCTGTTATTTATTTTCATTGCACATTTTTCAAGTGGAATTTGTTCATTTTTCTTTCATTATTATTATTTTTTTTTTTATCCTCACCCGAGGATATTTTTCCATTTTTTGTGCAGATAGAGTGGGAGGGAGGAGGAGGAAGGGAGAGAGAGAGAGAAACATCGACGCGAAGGGACACATCGAGTGGCTGCCAGCCGCACGACCAACCAGGGCCGGGGACAAACTGCAACCGAAGTACGTGCCCTTAGCGGAACCGAACCCGGGTCTCTCTCGACCGCAGGCCGACGCTCTAACCGCTGAGCCAAACTGGCCAGGGCTCTTTCATTAGTTTTTAAACTGCTTCACTTTGGAAAATTTCCATCTCTCAAAGTAACTAGCAAATCCAATTCTATCTTCTATTTTTTTCCTACAATTTAATATTTTATATTTAATTCTAATGTAACTGGAGGATTTTGGGGGGGATGGGGGAAAATGTACCTTTAAAAAATTTTCTTCTTTATTGATTTTAGAGAGGAAGGGAGAGGGAGAGAGAAACAGAGATATTGGTGAGAGAGAACATCAACTGGCCGCCTCCTGCACGCCCCCAATTGGGGATTTGGGCCACAACCTGGGCATGTGCCCTGACCAGGAATCAAACCGGTGACCTCTTGGTGCATGGGTTGATGCTCAATCAGCCAGGCGAGAAGACATACCTTATATCATTTCCCCCCAAAACTACTTACTACCTCATCCAAATACTCTTTATTTGAGCCTTGCTTTTAAAAAATAATGATTTTAAATATTTTGTTTACTAAAGAGCCCATATACATTATCCACAGAATCACAAAACTAGAACATGTGGATATCAACCAAGCTTTCCTTTTAATTTTATGAATGAGGAGAAAAATAAGGCCTGGTGGAGAGATTTACTCCAGGTCTCAGGGCTGGCTGGCTTTCAGTAGGTCATGGCCTCAGTGCTATGCAACTCCCAAGCAACCTTCCTGTGGTATTCCAGGAAGCTGGACTCTCCAGGGTACTGTCCTAGTAACCAGGTCAGCACTGCTCCCACAGAACTGCACTCATCCTCCTATGAATTCAATCAGGGCTAAACACACTCAACACCATGGAAAAATCACGCAGAATTCTTCTGGAAATCTTTGGTATCAATGAGGTTTTTGCTCATGACTTTAAGCTGACAATTAAATTCAACCAAGTCTTCCCCAAAGTTAATGAAAAATGAGTAGACCCTTGCAAACCATATGGCTAAGCTGTAAGGAAGAGTGAAGGCAGGAACACAGCCCAAGGTGCTGCAGAAAAGGCTTCCTTACCTTGCCACAGTGAACGTATCCGTTGGCAGGAGGCGAGCTAGCTGGATGAAGACGTGATTGAGAGCTGGACAGAAGCCACACCACTGTGCGTAATAAAGCAGCAAAACATCCTGTGGGAAGGGGGAGATGGCTGTGACTGGCGCCTGGAAAACAGGCTCCTCAGGCCCTCACTCTGCTTGGAACCCATTAGGCATTCAATAAATGCTGCTTGTGCATAAATCATAGTGAAAAAATTTATCTTCAGATTGTTCCAATTATGTGCTTTCTTAAGGACTTTTGCAATTAGAAAACTACATGTAATGTACACATTCTGAAATAAAATTGTCATGTGGTTAATTTTCTGTACGTTAAAACCAACCACTCACCCCAAGAATTACAGCTTTAGAAATAATTTTAATAGGAATAGATGGCTTGATTTTTGCCTCTCTTGTGATTCCATACCTGCTTTTGAAGGACTACTTTCCAGAAGGTATCAGTTGTCACTTCAGTGATTAAATGCTGAGAAGGGAACTGGGCAGAGTCACTTCCAATAAGATGCCTTTTCAAGGGACTGTAGAGAACGCTGAAGTTTTGAATAAAAGACTCTAAAAATAAAGAGAAAATGAGATCAACTCTTCTCTAAGTACAAGGAGAGTAGCTGGCCTAGTTAAAACTCTACATTTTAAAAATTGGGATGACTTCACAGTCTCACATTTTTAACACTTCACTTACACATGCAAAACCCTAAACAAAACTGCCCAGGGTGGCATCAGGTTTAGCTCTGGTGGTATTAACTCAGCAGACAGCAATTTAGATAACAAAACACCATGCATTGTTAGATGCTCTAATATTCAGGTTAGGAATGCTATCCTGTTTTTTCCTAACAAGCTGGTCCACAAATAAGACACCTGAGATTGCCATGCCACAATCAAATAATCAACACGCCACAATCTTTTAAGAGATATCAACCTATAAAACTAAGACCTTTAAGTATAACTACAAATGCAGTAATTGCACCAGTCTAATATAATGTATTAGGTGTTTAATACTCATTGAGGACAAGGGGCTATGTTTTTTGTTCCCTTTAATGAAGTTCTTCAAATTTCTTTCTTAAAGGGTTAAGAAAAATAAACTCAATTATACTTAGCAGAAAATGACATTTAAAAAAAAACATAAATAATCAAAAAACCAACTTGAACCAACAGTTTTAAACCCTCCCTGCAAAGCAGCACCAATCTGAATTTCACTTCCTTTTCTTTTACCTAACTCTTTTCAAGTTCCAATGAACAAGTCAATGTTCTGCAGAGTGAGAGGAAGTGAAGAATGTCATGTGAATGCTAAACAAAATTCATTAGCAGCACTGAATAACACTTAGTTGGCTATGTTTTTGAAACATAAAACCAAGAATTATTTCCTAAGCTGAATGAAACCTAAATTTTGAGACTGCCCCAGAGACAGCTGACTTAGGAGTCAACTCTCCAAACTGACAATGGCATCCAGTAGATTTTTATTTTACAAGGACCCTGTACATTTTGTCACCAGCTATAGGACAAAAACAACTGAGCTCAATGTTTCAGGATAGAGAAGATGAAAAGAAATCTTAAGAAGACTTCTTTCAGATTACCCTTAAATTCAAAGTGAACACATTTTGAGCTCATTGAATACTTGAGTATAAAAGAACAGAATTCAGAAAAATCCAATAAATACTTACTTAAAAGATACAGGCTTGTTTCATTTTAAGAAAACAGAGTACACAAAATGTAACTTTAAAAAACATGAATTAGGAGCAATCTGTAAAATTAATAAGAGTAAGCACTTCATAAAGTGACTGGTCACAGGGTCCTTCAAACACTTGGAGCCTTCAAGTTTATAACACAATTTGATATAGAACAAAATCAATATTTACATAAGCCTTTTCAAATGTATCTAACGTAAGAAACGAGCTTCACCTGGACTTAAAAAAAAAAAAGATAGCTAAAAGTGTTATTTAGGGGCTCTGACTTTACTCTTATAATATTCTCTAAAACTTTAAAACAAAAGGTTTATTTCCCTACCAAATTCCTTCTATCTCTATTCAGCAAACACAGACTTTCCCTCGAGTTTCCAGTGAGGCTGAACTAACATGGCTTTTGTTTTTTTTAAGTACAGACTAAGTTTCTAATCCATATACTTAAATACCAATCTGGGCAAAAGCAAAATGAGAAGCCTACATACTCATATTTTTTATACAACCAAGACATGTTTAATACAAGAATAAAACAAATAAAAAGCTAGAATCACATCCTTAGAAACTGGACCTTGAATTTAAAAACTTTAAAAAGATGGCTTTTGAATTCTTACTTCTTTGTGTGTACATCAAGGATGTCAGCAAAATCCTGGGCACAGGGCAGTGTGGGTTAGATACTGTAGCTGTCAAGCCCCAAGGGCAAGTTTTACCATAATGGGGTCTTACCCCCCAAAAGGTGGTTTTGGTGGTTTACAACCTGACATTTGTCTATTGCACTTGACACTGGTTTGTTATAATCTACGCACCCAAGGTCATAGCAGCATTTCCTAACCCTTAGAAAACAGCAGCAGAAATTAGGCCTTGACACTTAAACATTTAAATCATTGGAACAAAAAGGGAGGACAGGCAGTCTATTTCACTGCTTTCTGTTTAGGTTCCTTGAGAATGAAGCTATGAGGACTCACACTCATCAGCCCCTTGGGACATTCGCACCAGAAGGGCTCTCCAACAGTGGCCAGGTTCCCACCTCCTGCAGCTCTCCCTACCTTAGAAATGTGACAGGCACTGCCAATCTGGAATGTTGGACTCTTACCCTCCAAGGGTTAAATGACAAACTTACCCAAAATTTGGAGTTAGAAAGTTTCTGTTACATTTAATAGACAAAAATGACTGCTTATAAAGTATGACCAAGTGTAGCCTCACCCCCATGACCAAATGTAATGAGATTCCTAGATAAAAGTTACCTATGTGAAGTTACACAGACTTATTGTGCTTGGGGAAGTAAAGTGCCTAGAGTACCTAGGGTGAACTTCATAAGAGCTTGTTTTGGATCCAAGATATAGTGAGACTCTTCTTTCACATCAACAATTGCAGCAAATTCTTTCACCGGAGCGGTGCTAGGAGCACCTAGCCTTTCTGCATACAACCAAAACAAATTTGAATCCAACAGGTAGAGGTTCAGGGTCTTGTTGGTTCTGCAGCTCAGGCCTGTGAAGTTTGTGCTGTTCATGTCCACCTCAGGAAAGATATGCCTGTTCTCCTCAATGTGAGGAACGGAGCCTGGGGTATCAATCTCACATTCCTTCTCGACGGAAGGAAATTCAATGTTCGGGGATTTGAATACATCTGGTTCAGAATCTAAGAAGCCTGTCACACTCCTGTCCATGGTCCTGCAACATGCAGTATAGTAGCTGAAAGGGCTGTAGAAACTCAGAAAATTGCTACACAGCATGCTGTCTGATGCCACATGATAAAAGGCCTGCTCCTTGAGGTAGAAAGAATCCAGAGCTCCTGCCACCTCGAGAAAGCTGCACTGTGGCACGCTGACAGAGCTCTGCGTGACACATAGTTCACAGACATTGTGGGTTCTGGAGATAGCGTGCCACTGAGGCAGCACCACCGTGTTGCAGCAGGGGGATGCCATTATCAGTGGCAGGTCCAGCAGCTGGGCTGGGGGCTCAGTTGCCAGAGACTTGAACACTGGGGCATCCACTTGCCGCAGGTGCTGAAGGAGCCGCTCCACCACCTGGTCCCCATGACAGTTGTTGTACTCCAAGGCCACTTCGGTGATCTGAAACACAGGGAGGAGTGCATGAGAGGCATGGGGATGACTGAGGGAGTAGACACTGTAGCTATTAGGCCTAGAAATCATCCTAATCTGATTCACAAGTAGGAACCCTGGCTGGAAGCACCGCATCAAACAGGAAGCTGTCATACTAAAATCTATTAATAAAGAGACTTGGATTAGTTTTCAGAACATGTCATTCTATTAACAAATAGTGAACCAACTGTTTAGAGACAAAAGGGGTCTTAGGGTAGATTTCTTAGTCTATCATAGGATGAGAATGAAGCCTGGAGTGTGAAGTGGCTCACCCCACAATATACATCCAGATTGTTGAAAAACCAGGAATAGAAAGAATTTAAATCTCAACTCCCAGTTGAGTGCATTTTCCTTTACATCTGTAAAACTCCTCTATACAATCTTTCTTCATCTAAACTAACAGCAAAAAAGTTCCTTTGTCCTGGCCAGTTTAGCTCACCAGTTAGAGCGTAGGACCGTGGAACAATGAGTTGCAGGTCCGATTCCGGTCAAGGGCACGTACCTTGGTTGTAGTTTGTACCTGGCCCTGGTCGGGGTCATGCAGGGACCAAGCTGCAACCAAGGTATGTGCCCTTGACCAGAATTGAACCCTCAACTCTTTGGCCCGTGGGCCAATGCTCCACCCAGTGAGCCAAACCAGCCAGGATCCCAATTCAAGTATTTACTGTAGTCTTTTATAAAAAGTTCAAGTAGGAACATAGTAAGGACAGCAAAATTCCTTAAAAAGTCTTCTTTCCTCATCTTTTTTTTTTATCCTCACCCAAGGACATGTTTCCATTTTTTTGTTCAGATAGAGTAGGAGGGAGAGAGAAGAGAGAAAGAGAGAAACATCAATGTGAGAGAGACACATCAAGTGGCTGCCACCCACAAAACCCAACCATGGCCGGCGACAAACTGCAACCGAGGTACGTGCCCTCAGCGGAAACCGAACCCGGGTCTCTCAGAACCACAGGCCGATGCTCTAACCACTGAGCAAAACCGGCCAGGGCATCTTTTTCATTCTTATCTCTCACAAACAAAGCAGCCATATCAAGGATATATATATATATATAAAATTTTTATTGATTTTTTTAGAGAGGAAGGGAAAGACAGAAACATTAATCAGCTGCCTCCTACACGCCCCCCCACCAGGGATGGAGCCAGAAACCCAGGCATGTGTCCTGAACTGGGACCTTTCAGTCCATGGGATGATGATTAATCTACTGAGCCACACTGGCCAGGCTAAAGGATATATATTTTTTTCTTTATTGGCTTTTTTTTTTTTTTAAGAGAGAGAGGAAAGGAAAGGGAGAGAAACATCGATGAGAGATAACATCAAGTGGCCACCTCCTGCACGCCCCCCACTGTGGATTTGGCCCACAACTTGGGCATGTGCCCTGACCAGGAATCGAACCAGCGACTTCTTGGTGCACGGGTCAACGCTCACTGAGCCATACCAGCTGGGCTGTTTGTATGTTTATTTTTTTAGAGACAGCGGAAGGGAGTGGGGGCAGTGACAGAGACATATCAATTGGTGGAGCAAACCTACAACTTAGGCACACGCTCTTGACTGGGAAGGACTCAAACCAGAGACCCTTTGGTACATAGGCCGATGCTCTATCCACTGAGTCAAACCGGCCAAGGCTATGTAACAGGCAGTTTTGAATATGCAGCTTGAGTTACATCCCGTATGTAAATTACCTGATGCCATATTTAATGTCATGTGAACTAATAAGAAAAATCTGGCAAATAAGTTCAAATGTTTGCACTGTAACTGCTTCATTCCATTTCTTTCATCAGAATAATTGTAAGTCTGAACAAGATGACCGTGCCTTTGCTGATCAGACTCATGGACTGAAAGCTTCAAAGCAGGGCTGTGAAAGCTGAAAACAAGTCCCACAGACTCTGCCAGTTGCGGGAAGCCTGTCTTCTGATAAGCACACTGAGATGTCTTACGACCTCTCTAGAATTCTAGAGACACCAGGGGTCATGGCCTAATGCTGTATGCAGTACAGGCTATGCTTTCCAGTGGGGAGAGTGGGCACATGTCTAAGAGCAGCTGCCGTATCCTGGACTGGGCCTCACAGTGTGGCCACCACATGGCTTTCTTACTGACACCCATCACATTCCCACTACAGCTGCTCCAAACTTCCTTGCTTGGCAAGCTCTCAACTCTACTACCCTCACTCCACAATGACCTCACTCTTCTCACAATGTAAGCTTCCTCAGCTGTCTGCCCAAAGTTAGGCCTAAAAGTAGTAATGGAAGAATAAGGATTAAGGCTTAAACTATTTTGTGTTCGAGGAGACAATGAGTTCTCATTGTTTAGAACTAACCCTATTAAGTGTAGTGTTCATTCCTCCCACCCCTCCCACCAGTGACTTTTGGTCAGTGTGTCACTATTTCCCTAACACTCCCCCCTTCCCATCCCAGTGCCACCATCCAAGTTCAGGATCTTACTGCTTCTCATGTTCACGAAACACTGCTGCCAGGAAAACTTTAATAATAGTAACACACTGCTCTACTGATATCTCCACACTGTCAGTGAGACTTTGATAGCTACAATGAATGCTAAAGTCCTCTAAGGGCCTCTTTACCAAAGGTTTTTTTGGGTCTTCTCCAACCAGCCATTTATGATGGGCCATATAAACTGCATTATTTCCTAAAACCTAAATCTGCTGCAACTTACTCGCCCTGTGCCTTTTCTCAAGCTGTTCCTTCCGATAAGTTTCTTTCAGCCCATCAAGACCCTGACCACCACTGAAGGTCTGTCTTAAATACTTGCTCCTCCCGCCCTGGCCGGTTTGGCTCAGCGGTTAGAGCGTCAGCCTGCGGTCCACAGAGACCTGGGTTCGGTTCCCGCCAAGGGCACATACCTTGGCTGCAGTTTGTCCCCGGCCCTGGTTGGGTCGTGTGGGTGGCGGCCACTCGATGTGTCCCTTTCACATCAATGTTTCTCTCTCTTCCTCTCTCTCCTTCCTGCTCTGAGTAAAAAATGGAAAAATGTCCTCGGATGAGGATAAAAAAAAAAATACTTGCTCCTCCCACAGCCTCTCCCAACCTCTCCCCTGCACAGCCTCCAGCTTCATGAGACACAGTTCTCTACCCTTCAGTTCCTCCTGACCCAGGCCTGGGGCTGACCTTCCTCTGCCTTGAATTATAAGCAGAGTCTTGCTCTCCTACTGGACAAGCCTCTGAGACCATGAGAGCAAGGTGGCGTCTTCTCCACCTTTCTCCCCTATAGCTCCCTGACGTGGTGATCAGTAAACATTTGCTAAACTGATCTGAAATAAAAAGGGAACTGCACTGCACAATACTTTACTGGCCAAGTAATCCCCAATTCTGCTAAAATGCCACCTGGTTTTTAGCAACCTCAACTACACACAGGTTAAGGCAATCCAGTCACCTTGCAGGGACACTATGAGCCCTGAGGAAAGGAGCCACAGGAAAAACTGTAATAAACAGAAGACCTGTCCATAGACAAAAGGTTAGGGGAGATAAAGACAGACATTCAGCCAGGAGCAAAGGGCTGGAAAACAAGTGTCTTGCACCAGGTGCCTAAACTCAACAACTGCCTGAATGGAGGAACTAGGCTCAGGTCACAGAATACCACCCCATCCAGGACCCTGACATGCCCAAACCAGACAAGGTAAAATTCTCCAGAAGAAAAGTTTAAAAGCTAAAGTAAAAATCCACACCTTGCTTGAAAACCCCACCTTTCCTATAAAAAGCTTTAAAGCTCTTAATAGTAGATGCAGTAAAGGCCTAATAACCTGGAAGAGTGTCTTAGTTCATAAAATGTGTAGTGATGATTTTCTAAAGACATTAAGTCTTATTACTTCAAGCCATCCCTAATCAAAGAAGAAACAAAGCTACTTCATTTATCCTTTCTTCCTCTAAACCAGGATTGTAGCGAACACTCAGAATGTCCCCCGAGCAGGGATAATGACTGTCAAGTGAAGGGTCTGGCTGGACAAGAACCCTACCTCCCTCCAGGCAGATTATTAGGCTCACATGAACAGGCTGGGGACAGACAGTGTCTGGTTAACCTGGCTGGTAGTAAACCGGCCGTCTGAAATTGGTTTTGGCCAACTTAAGGGATCCTTGAGGGAAGGAATAAAATAAAAACCCCAGTAAATCCAATTTAGCAGTCCCAGGTGCTCTCTGATGATTGTTATTGCTCTCTCTAAGTGGCTCCAAATGATCCATGTATAAAATAAACTCACAACCAGATAGAGTGAGTGTGCCAGATGAAGCAGAAAAGGCAGAAGGGAGGGGCAGACTCTGGCTATCTGTGCAACAAGAAAGGTTTAGAAAAATAAGGGATGATCCCAATGTCAGCAGTGTTGCTCCTGGCTCTTGGGCTGCAGATGGCCAGGGCCAAGCAGTCTTGCCAAACCCTATGACAACAGCATCTCCTAGGCCACACTAAACCCTGCCTGTGTTGCTGTCCGTCCCCTCTGTCCCACTCCCTGACATTAGTCATCAAAGGAAGAGGGACATATAGTCCTTCCCTGGAGAGGCATGGTTTGGTTTCCCTGTCCCCTCTGACTTACCCAGACCTGAGCAGCTGTCAGTAAATGTGGCCAGAGAGGCTTTGGTGGATCCTATCCTAGGCACGGGCTCTCCTGCCCCTTTATAGGGGGAAGGAATAATGCCAGAGGAGCACAGCTGCCACTCCTGGCAACCACTCACTTACAAGTGGAAATCATTCTGAACATGGAATAAGAGAAGTCCAAATTAATGAGGTTTTCCTACTCCTTATGATATACCTCTTAACATTAGGACTCTTACCTCATTTATTAAAGGATGACTTTCAGCTAACGGATTAAAAGGTATAAATAAAAAAAGGGCTGGTCCTTTCTTCAGTTCATTATTCAGCAGGATACTTTTTCCACCATGTGGCTGCAGCCATCGAAGGAGTGTCTCTTGATTTTCTAAGGCCCACTTATAGATGTTCTCAGCTGTGTAGTTGATGACCTCCCTGGGAAAGACCTGTGAAGGACAAACACACAGAGGATAAAGGGCAGGGCAGAATTAAAGCACATCAGCACTGTCCTCGAGAGGCCTGATCAACCCTACCACTTCACAAGTGAGGAAAATGAGGCTTAGTGCTGCGGTACAGCCTGCCCCTGCTTGTGCAGCTAACACCTGGCTCTACTTCTCCAGACAGAACATTTCCTCAAAAGTGGCTGGAAAAAAGCAAAAATAGTTGCAAGAGGTTACTTTCATAGCATGTGATTTATCTTTTTCCTGTGAGATTCATCGATCAACAAATAATTCTCCCTGCCTGTTGCTGGCATCAGGGACCTCTACCACCCTATCCAAGGGGAGCTATTAGATGTTATTGGGTTATTTTATAAAAGAATCAATAGCCCTGGCTGGTTTGGCCCAGCTGTTTGAGCGTCAGCCTGCGGTCCTGAGAGACCTGGGTTCGGTTCCTGCTAAGGGCACGTCCCTCGGTTGCGTCCCCAGCCCTGGTTGGGTCGTGTGGATGGCAGCCACTCGATGTGTCCCTTTCATGTCGATGTTTCTCTCTTTCTCTCTCTTCCTCTCCCTCCCTCCTACTCTTATTTGAACAAAAAAATGAAAAAATGTCCTTAAGTGAGGATAAAAAAAAAGGATCAATAAATATCTAAGGGAACAGAAATTATGGAGTCATGGTTCATTCAGATTTTTACCTTAGTTCCTCAAAAGCTGGCTCATAAGCGCAGGAGTGGACCTTCCATTAAGGCAAAATATGTATCTGTTTTGCTCACCTGTAGCCCAAGCGATTAAGAACACCTGACACAGGGCTGAAATTTAACAATTTTAATGAATCCATAAATGACCTAGAACTTGTACAAGACCACAAATCACATTTTATGTGTACAGAATGAAGGAACAAGATGCTTAGATTTTTTTGCTTTTTCTATAACAACCAAAATGTGTCAATATCAAATTATTTTTGAAATTCCAATGATATAAATCACTGGGTTTGAAAAACTCCCAAAACAGTGCTTTAGAGGGTGCCACACAATGAGATTCTTTATACCCCACCCCCCAAAAACAGAGATTTAAATAAGCCCCATAACAAAGATGTCCACTGCTTTTACCTTTTAAAATACTAATATCCTGCCCGGCCAGTGTGGCTTAGTGGTTGAGCGTCAACCCATGCACTAAGAGGTCACTGGTTCAATTCCTGGTCAGGGGGCATATGCCCAGGTTGTGGGCCTAATTCCCAGTGAAAAGCATGCAGGAGGCGGCCCACTGATGTTCTCTTTCATCGATGTTTCTATCTCTCCTTCTCCCTTCCTCTCTCTCTAAAATCAATAAAGAAAAATAAATAAATTTAAAAAATACTAGTATCCCAATAATATTTAATTTGATAAAAATAATTCTGGTCCTGGCTGGTGGGGTTCAGTGGCTGGAGTGTCAGCCTGCACACCGAAGGGTCTCGGGTTCGATTCCCAGTCAGGGGCAACTGATCTCCCCCACCCCCACCCATTCTCTCTAAAAATCAATGGAAAAAAAAAATCCTTGGGTGAGGAAGAACAACAAAAAAGGAATTCTACTGCTAAATCAACCAACCAACTAAGCTTAATAACTATGGAACTGGTGCAGTAAACCCAATATATTTTAAAGTGTCATTCTCATAGTCCTATTTTCTTTTCTCCATCTATTTTAATTTCTTCCCCAGTACTCTTTACTATAAATATATGTTGGTTATATAGCATGTTATGAAAGACAGATGAAGGAAAATGATAGACAGCAAAAGCAGATAAAGTTAAAAGAAGCTTAGGGGCACAAAAAGATGGGGTGGGCGGCGGAGAGACAATCATAGCAGTGATTCTCAAAGTGGAACGATGAGAGTTTAAAACAACGTACTCAAACATCGTAATAAACATTTCTATTTGGAAAACACAAAGATGCATTTGATTTTTAGAATATAAACTGCAAGAAGTAAAGCACAACATCTAGGCTACTAGAAATATGCAGAAGCTAGGGTGACTGGCAACCAAGGAGGTGTCCCCTGGAGAGTGCCTAACTGTACCTACAAGGCACAAGACTTATATGCTGATCCAAGGGGCGCATAGGATTAAAGCGCTGGAGTCCACAGGCACAGAGATACAGGTCTTCACTCAACCTTTAAGTCACTGACACTGCCAATGAACTTAGAGATAGCAAATACTTAATAGAAATAAATTCTCAGTGTTGGGACCGAGGAAACAGCAATAAATAGAGCAGAAGCATAGGACTAGAGGATATAGGTCAAAAGCTCAGAAATAGCTGAGTTGAGGTGGGTCCACCAAAAGCAAATGAAATCAGGAAACAAAGACAACAATGGAAAACCAAGGCTCTCTGAGGTAAGAAGCCATCAACTTCTCACTGTGACTTGACAAGAACTTGAAAATCCATAATATCTGCTAAAGAGAAAAGCATGTGATATTGCTACTCTTGATAAATGGAACCAATGAACAAAGAACATCACCCAACAGAAGCTTAACTTCTGTGAACATGGACCCAGAGTAACAATTCTCCAACAAAATAGTTCTGTAATTTCATCCAAGAAGGAAAACTAACAAAGCTGTCCCAAAACCTAAGAATATAAACAAAGAATTTATAGATGTTAAATTAAAGAGCCCTCTAATGCATGGGTTCTTAATCAGGGGCATGGGCCCTAGAGTAGGACTGTAAGAACTCTCAATTTGCATATAAAATGTTGTGCACTTTCCTAGGGAGAGTGTCCACAGATTTCATCCAATTCTCAAAGGAATCTATGACCTAAACAAGGTTAAGAACCACTGCACTAATATAAACGTGATTTCAAAATACTTACAAGTGATGTGTTGAAATGTCTATGTAAATACACACTTCCAGAGTGTACTAAGGATACCAGTTTCGCAAGATGTTTATTTGTGATAACCCCAAATCGTACTGTTCCTAGGTAATCTGAAACAGAAAATTTTCCTTTATTAAAGAAAAGGCCTGTGCCTTAAAGCAACCACAAAATCCAATGATCAAGTCTTGATGCACAAATTCCCCAGAGTAAAGTTCTTTTTGGTCACCTAGCCTAGACAGAAAGGACAAGGAGCTAAGAAACCTCTTCCTGACACAGACCTCATGCCTACTCCTGAGTAACATCTCTGACAGTCACCTGCACTGATTCTGTGCTGATCTGACCTCATTTCCTGTTACTCCTAAACCCTCACTCACCAGCCCCACCTTGGAGGTCTGGCATATGCAGTTCTCTCTGTCTGGACACTGTCATGGCTAGCCCCTTCTTATCATTCAGATTTCAGTTCCAACCCCACCTTCTTTAAGAAGCCTTCCCTGACCACCCCAATTCAGGGCAAGTAATCAGAGGATGAAGTCTATAAGGGAAAACTGGGGCTACTTCCCCATTCAGGAACTCTCTTTGCCATTACCCTATTTTTTTAATAGCACTTACTAACATCTACATAATCTTATTGACTTATTTAGATTTTTAAAAATTGGGACTAACTTCCTCGTAAGTTCTGTGAAATTAGAAACCTAGTTTACTGCTGTCACCCCAGCAACTACAGCAGTGTGTGGGCGTATTATAAGAGATCAATAAATGAAAGGATCTAAGACATACAAAGAACTCATATAAAGTATTAAGAATAAAAAAGCAGTTAAAAATGGGCAAATCAGAGAAAAGAAAATGTTACAAGTTAATAATTACATGAAAATATATTCAAACTCACTATTTCAAAGGAAAGCAAATTAAAACAAAATACCACTTTTTACCCTCAGATTGTCCAAAATTTGAGACAGGAAATCTCAAGTATTGATGATCAATAAAGAAATGAGTACTCTGACAGAATACTGATGGAAAAGGTAAAAAGGAAGGCATGACACATGCTGTACTGATCATAATGACACATGGACATAGACTGTAGCCCTGTAATTCTACTTCTAAGAGTCACAGGTAAGGAAAGTCACCAAGAAACACTCTGAAGATGTTAAAAACAATGGGGAAGGGCTATCTATAAAACATGAGTAAATTTTAAAGACATATGTGAGTGAAAAAGCAAGTGAGGAAAGATAAACAAAAAAACAAAACTCACAATTATAAAACAATATTATTTTTCCTACTGGCATACATATTCAGAAATGTATAAAGTATCTCAAAACATAATAAAAGTAGTTTTGTGTTGGGAGATGGAAAGCAAAAAAGACTTTATCCTTATGAGTGAAGCTTTCTTTTTTTTCCTCAAGGAGTATATGTAATGTAATACTCGTGTGATTAGAAACGGACTTAAATATTTCATGCTAAAGGAGGGTAGATAAGATGGTATAGGAAAAGATACACTCTTTCTTATCTACTTTCTGCTTTATTAGAAGACATGAAATAAAGTATTGGTTAAATTTTAAATGTTACCAAGTTACATCCACCTAACTAAAATATAATAGGAAGGTACTAAACACACAAAGTTTCTATCTTAACCACATGAGCCCCACCCTCCTGGTATTCTTTCTTTCTTTCAGGGGAGTGGTTATCGAGGATGAAGCAGAAGTGACTATGTCCCTAAAGCCATACTGGATAATCTTTAATATAAACCTGATGAGTTTAAAATGGCATAACCCCAAAGAAACACAGGAACTAGAAACTTGCAATTGGTTGCTTAAAGGATGGGGGGGGGGAAGGCAGAGGGGGCAGAGAAGGAAGAATGGAAACTAGAGAACAAGGATGATATGGCCCAACCCTCCTCCAAGTAGACCTTTTTTATCAGACTCGCTTCAAGCCCTTTACATGCTCAAAAACTAAACACATCATTAAACCGGCCCAGATGTTGGAAAACCTAATGTGAATACAAACACTAGAAATGAAACCTAACTGTATCACAGATGTACCACACCACAATGAAGGGGTGAAGGCTGGGGGATAAAAAACTGAGTAACTGGAAACAGTATCTTAACTGGATACTGTAAAACTAAAGACTGTGAGAGCCAGGATTCTCAGGATGGAGAAAAAGAAGTAATATATTAAGAAGGGACCCCTAAAATGAACCCTGTGGTGTCAGACTGGAACCAGAGGGAATCAGTATAAACTTATGGCTTTTAACACACACACACACACACACACACACACACACACACACACTATAGAACTATAGATATATCCATATGCATGGGTATAAATACATGTATGGCCCAGCCAGTGTGGCTCAGTGGTTGAGCATCAACCCACGCACCAAGGGGTCACCACCAGTTCGATTCCCAGTGAGGGCACATGCCCAAGTTGTGGGCCCAATCCCCAGTGGGGGGCATGCAGGAGGTGGCCAACTGATGTTCTGTCTCATCAATGTTTCCATCTCTCTCTCTTTCTCCCTTCCTCTCTCCCTAAAATCAATAAAGAAAAATTTTTTTTTCTGAATTAAAATACATGCATGTCCTAGCTTGATCTGCTGAGAGGACCTAGAAATAAAGACGCCTGATACTAAAGACAACAGCTAGCACCCAGACCTTGGTTTCTAAATGCCATGCTCCAATAAAGGAACCAGAGCTCCTTGAAAAAGAGGCTGATTCTAGAGCTAGGGCAGGGAATATACAAGATGAGTCTAAAGTATCTTGTGTTGTCAGAAATAAAGTGCTCATAAAAGGATGGGGACTAATCCAAGATGCTCCTAAAGGCCAAAGATGAGACTATTTGAACAATAAAATAAGCAATCACCACTGTTTTTCAAAAGTATCAAGGTCATAAAAGACAAGGAAAGACTGAGGAATTGTCACAGACTGGAGAAGACTAGGAGAAAAATTAAATGTTATGTGGGATTCCAGATCGGATCCCAGAACAGAAAACAGACATTGGCAAATTCAAATAAGGTCTACAGTTAAGAATACTGTACCAATGTTCATTTCTTGGTTTTTACAAATGGATATATAACATGTTAACATTGGGGGAAGCTAGGTGAAGGTAGGGAATTAGACAACTCTGTTCTATTTGGGCAACTTTTCTGCAAGTATAAAATTAGTTCAAAATTTAAATTTAAAAAATGGCATAATATAAAAGTTCAGATCCCAAAACTGTCAGAGGAAAAAGTAGGACTTAAGAGAGGATATGAATTGGTAGAACCAATAGACACCACTCTCCAGGAGGGGGTTGAATCTTGGTGGACAGTAGCTAAAAAGGGAAGGAAAGAAGGAAAAGCAGCCAGTAAGGAAATTTATTTGCTAGTCTGCTGAAAGTCACCAACATGATCTATTACATCAAAGGAATAAGAAGTGACAGCTTGATCCAAAAGTTGAAAGGGACCATTCAAAAACCCATTTAATTAATAAGAATGGAGAGCTTGCCTGCACAGAACAGATTTTATCATGCCCAAACATGTTATAATTTCAAAACTTTATTCTTTACACATAGAAACTTATAAAAGCTACACATCTATTTAATTCTCTACATAAAGTAGAAATCTTGCTGGAAAAAACAGCTTAAATTTGCCATTTCGTGTGTACAAGGAGTAACTGAATTAGCAGAGGAAGTTTATAGTGTAAGAATGATGTAAGAAAATAACACTCTCATCTCCATATCCAGAACATGATCTGTTATGCAGGGCTCCATGGCTTTCTATAATAGGGGGTTTTGTCATTTATAAAACTGAATAATTTTGTTCTAAAAGTAATGACACTTCAATATTTTAATTAAGAACTCTGAATTTGTTGATTAAAAATAAATTCAGCCCTGGCTGGTGTGGCTCAGAGGATGGAGTGTCAGCCCATGCACCAAAGGCTCTCAGTCAATTCCCAGTCAAGTCCACATACCATAGGTTTGATCCCTGGACCTGGTTGGGGTGCATGCTGGAGGCAACTGATCGATGTGTCTCTCTCACATCAATGTTTCTCTGTGTGTGTGAGCGTGTGTCTCTCTCTCTCTTCCTCCTTCCCTTCCACTCCTTCAAAAAATCAATGGAAATATCACATGATCTCACTTATTTGTGGAATATAATGAACATAACAGTCTGAAGAACAGGGTAGAACCAGAGACGTGGAAGTAGGGTACAGACTGACAACCCTCAGAAGAGGGGGTGGGGGAGGAGGGAGGAGATAAACCACAGAACTTATATGCATGTAAGCATAACTGATGAACATGGACAACAAAGCTAGGGACGGAGTTGGGGGCATGGGGAGGTGGGTGTCAATGGGGAAAAATGGAGAAACATCTGTAACAAAAATAAATAAAAAATAAATAAATAAAAATAAATAAAATAAAATATAGATTCCAATGTCCTAAAAAATATATAAAAAGGAAGACAGATTACAATACAGTATCATCAGCAGTTCAAATAAATAAATAAATAAATAAAAATAAAAATCAATCCTCAGTTGAGGAGTAACAAAAATAAATAAATAAGTAGATAGATAGATAGATAGATAGATAGATAGATAGATAGATAGATAAACTCAGCTTTGGCCAGGTAGCTCGGGTGGTTGGAGTGTCATCTTGTGCACCAAAAGAGGCTGTAGGTTTGATTCCTGGTCAGGGCACATACCTAGAATTTGGATCTAATCTTGGTCGGGATGCGCACAGGAGGCAAAGGATGTTTCTCTCTCACACTGATGAAGTTTCTCTTTCTTTCTTTCCCTTCCTCTCTAAAATCAATAAACATACCCTCAGGTGGGGATAAAAACAATTTTATAAAAATAAAATAAAGCCCTGGCCAGTTTGGCTCAGCAGCTAAGAGCGTCAACCCACAGACCAATGAGTCTCGGGTTCGATTCCAGTCAAGGGCACGTACCTTGGTTGCGATCTGTCCCTGGCACTTACTGGGGCTGTGCGGGAGGCAACCATTCAATGTGTCCCTCTTATGCTGATGTTTCTCTCTCCCCCACCCCCTTCCACTCTATCTGAACAAAAATGAAAAAATATTCTCAGGTAAGGATTAATAAATAAATAAATAAAATAAAATAAAATAAATTTAGCCTGGTTG